ACATTTTTGTTTAAACACGCAAATGCAGAAGATTTCGCTTTAAATTAAGTGTTTGATTGAGATGATTGGTAAACAAGATTTGAGATACCTATCTCAAGATAGATATACACTTCTTTATGAGATTCAAAGGCGGGTTCAAGCAGCCATGCGAAGGAAACTGATTGTGTTTAGCAATTTCCGTGAGGATAAGAGAACTACATTAGCGTAGAACACAGACAGCAAATGATGCCGTCTCTCTACGATCGAAGCTCGGAATGACGGAAGAAGCTGCTCGGGCAGGGTTAAGTCGAATCACAGGTGTTCGCGTACAATTACACAGCATGCTCCAAGACGTCGACTGCGGTCGTCGCGTGGCAACACGTCCGCGATCAAATCTGCCGCCCCGCGGCAGTTGATTTAGTAGTGGTAAAGTCATCACAATTGGGCGTCTGCGGGTTCTCTCCACGGCATTAATGGCGGTGGTTGTGAGGCTGCCTTTCGCTTCATTGTACAGCACTTCGGGCGTTCAAGCCTCCAATCATCAAAGAGGAAATGTGGGAGAGCTCTAAAGACTCACAAAGCCTCAGGCAGAGTTAGAGGGAGAGGAGGGGACTCCGCGGTGGGTGACACAGTCTAGCAGAGTTTGGAATGCGTGAGATCACAGAAGTAATGAACTGGAAGCCTGGAGCGGATGTAAGCAAAGGCGAGCGATGATTTAGGCTCTTCTACGATTGAGTATTCTATACTTGCAAAAGTTGGAAATTTCGCCGCGCTAGCATGCCGGCATCACACGCCCCCTACTGTCTGGGTGCATAATATTTGATACTGCAGAAAGGGAATGAGATGAGACCCTCAAATTTGATGCTATTTCCCAACGAAGGAGGTGCTCGAGTGGAAAGATTTAACTTACACATACACTAGTGCTCTATGGTCGCTACACTTAAGGATCGCTTTTGAATTACGAAAACAGTTCTTTTCTGGCTTCAAATCTTGAAAGCTCAGCTCAAAACCTCTGAGAAATGGTACTTCACAGAACGCGCTTCATTTTGGGGCTGCGACATCTCAATCGCACTGCAGATCGATCGTTCTAGAAAAGTACGCATCCTGATGAAAGCACTAGGTTTAGTTAATATTTTGGATAGAGTGTCAACGGACAGTCATCTTTCCGAGACACACAGTTGCGCCGAGTTCTGGGGTGACGAACGAGAACACCGATTCAGGGGAGACCATCTCACTGCTATTTTTTAGCCATTGAAACCATAGGCTAGGCAGACACTAACGACTCTCCGGCTGATCGGTGCAAAGTTCCTGAATAGTGTTGGCTCATATTGTAATGATGGATGTAGGCTTTCTGTTAGAAAAGGGGTAAGACAGGAAATTGTACGAACTTTTGGGACACCCTAATACCCAAAGCAGAATGAGGAGTATAAAAACCTGATGGTAGGATCATCATAGCTGAATCAGGCCTAACATTCTATAATAGTAGAGCAGAGGTCGATGTAGTTGTTGGGTGCTTTTGTTAACCAAAAATCGTTGTACTCATGTCGTTGAGTTCGATCTTTCGTCTCTCTTGCAGCGGTGCATAAATTATAGTTAGCAGTCACGAACTCAATGCCCTGAACCAGTCATTTTTAGGGAAAACTGCGTATTGCAAATTTTACCCGTTATTAGCCCTGTAATAATGCGTAGACGGTAATTATTACGAAGCTGAGGCAGCAACAGGGACCCTCTTGATCAGAAGAAAGCTGATCAGAAGCTTTGTCTTGTTTCCGTGGATGGATAATTTGCAACCAGAGCGGATATTCATAGCAAGACTAGACCGTATCATCTATTCGTCGATAGAGGGGTTCTATTTGACGTACCGGAAAGGGGATCATATCGGCTAGAACCGGTAGGGTACTTCCGGAAGGGAAGTGCTCAAGTACTAGTGAGAGTTTGAGGACATTTCACATTTTTGCTCCAAAATTCCGACTTCTTTTTTGTTTTTCACTAAACGCGGCCCCTCCCACTCCCTTCCCCTTCAACAGACCTGTTAAAGAGTCATGTTCTCAGATTGAGGTAAAATGGTTGAGAGATCCACAGGAACCCAGCAGGATTGCCCCACAAGTAAGAGAGATATAAGTGAGATGTGCAAGTTTGAAGTCTCACCTGGGACGAAAAGTTTGTCATAACCCAACTTCTCTGTGAAAATGTTAATACATAAGTAGCAATAGGCTAGCTAGAGGATTTACCATAATTACTTGCTGACTTCAACCTTTTCATGGAATTAAAGGAATCTTCCACGGAAAAAGCTCCGCCCTCATTACCACAGAAAACGATACCTTAAAGGAATCTTCCACGGAAAGAGTGATCATTTTGTCTTGTGTGTAGGATTAGTATTATCGAAACTAACGCTTATGTTCCGTTCTTTTTGCTATGCTCATGAGGCTAGGGCCTAAGGTATCGTTTTTCTGTGGTAATGGAGGCGGAGCTTTTTCCGTGGAAAGATTCCTTTGGGAATA